TCCGAAAGTTTCCCCAATTTCGCCACCGTGCTCGCCGCGGTCATTTGGGGTGGCGCGCGCAGGATAAGACTCGCGGGGCCCGTGGGCGGATGGGGGCGATGTCGCGAGGGCAGAGTCGGCGCGCCGATGGGCAGCCCAGCACCCCGGTTGGCCGGAGGGGCCCAGTACAATGCAAGGGCAGAGCCTGACCCCCGCCCGGGGTCGCGGGATCGGGTTCCCCTTCCCATTTTAAAATTTTTAATCCCAAACGGTGTATTGACCCGAAAATTAGCAGACGGCATAGGACCTCCTCGAAAGAAGCTTTCGGGTTCGGTCATACGACGACCCGACAAGTTTATCGGCCGACCTGAAAGTGGCCAAATCCTATAGGATTTGTGCCAAGAAAAAAAATCGGGTCCAGTTCGAACGACGCGAAAATGGGCAAACCGCCTAGGACTCCTTGCAAAAACATCGTTATCGAGGTCTTCGGGCCCACTCCGAAGAAACCAAACATGGGCAAATCGCCTAAAGCATCCTATCACAAACGGTTTCTCGGTGGTTCCGGGCCTCGTCCGAAGGAGCCGCCGATGGGCAGACCGCTCAAGGTTTCCTGCACAAGAAACGGATTCCCGGGTGAGCCATTGTCAACGGGCACGCGCCCCGCGCGGGATCGGGGTTCGCGCGGGGGCGCGGCTGCTCTCGCCTGTCCCGGGGGTACACATTGCCGCGCCCTTCCAGCACAGCGTTTGCGCTGCATTCGCGCGGCGCCGTGCCTCCCAAATCGGAATAAACTCTCGGAGCGCCGATGTATCGGGCCCCCGTCGGCGATCCATGGGCGATCGGGGGGTCGATGCATCCCCCCCTGAGCCCAACCCCCCCTCAAGATGCCCCCGAGCCCAGACCCCCGACGTCATGATTTTTTCATGACGTCGACCCCCCGAGGTCTCGACCCATTCCCCGGGACCGGTTTTCCGTCCTGAGTCGTTTTCTGACGGCCCCGAGGGCCGGCAAGGGCCCCCAGAGGCCAGAAACAGTGAAAAACCTCCCGTCGTGATTTTTTCCTAACTCGAGGGGGTCTGGGAGACCCGCCCGCGCTGCGCCGGGGAGCAGGGCCGAGGCCCCCCGGGCAGGCGGAGCCGCACCGGCGCCGAAGAGCCTCCTGGCCGCCCGACGGCACGCCGACGACCGGCTCGACGCGGCGCGCCGCCCGGGTTTGATCCGCGAGCAGTCTTCGGTGGCAGCTCAGGGGGAGCCTCCCCATCCTCCTCCTCCCCCTCATCCTCCCTCCTCCTCATCCTCCTCCTTCCTCCTCCTCCTCCTCCTCCTCCTCTCCTCCTCCCCCCCCGCTCCTCCTCCTCCTCCTCCTCCTCCTCCTCCTCCTCCTCCTCCTCCTCCTCCTCCTCCTCTCTCTCCTCCTCCTCCTCCTCCTCCTCCCCCTCCGCGCCCGAGTTGATCTGAGAGTAATCTTCGGTGGCAGCTCACGGGGAGCCTCCCATTCGGGTCGGGCGAAAGGGGGGGGATAGCCAAGGGGGGAGTTTGAGAACCAGCTCAAGCAGCTGATTTTCCCGGCGCCTCCCGGCGCCGGAGGCGGCTATGTATCGAGGAGCGGGGCCCTCGGTGAGGCCGAAACCATCCGCATGCAGCAAATTTCGTACCCCCCCTTTTCCCAATCCCCCGCTTTCGCCCGGCCCGACCACTCAGGGGAGCCTCCCATGCCATCTTGCGGGCTCGTGCGCGTCGACGCTAACGGACGCTTATCGGCGCCAAATCGATTATCACACACGAGCGCGCGCGAACGCACCCGAAAGACGTAACTGCGAGGACACACCCGGCTCCAATGAGTTGCTGCCGAAGCAGTCGGTGTAAATCTCGTTGCAAGCCGGAGTCTCGATTTTTGGGGCGAACGCACGAATCAAACATCCAAGCGAACGAACGAGCTATCCACCGCCAGGAAGGACCGGCGTCCTAACAAACAACTATGCTTGCCATGCAGCCGTGCTGTGGTCAGCACCAAAATGCGATACCCCTTGCCGGAGCCACTTGCGTCAATCGAACGGAGCGGCGTGCACCCTTTTGGCAACGCAAGGGCTTCCAGCCGATTGTACTACATCTGCTCCATCGCTGTGCAGGAAGAGGTCGAGCAGAAGTAGGGCAGGATGAGGGAGAAGAGCCAGATGATGATAAGGGAGGAAAGATAATGCAGAGGAGGAGGGGCACACAACCAAGCCGTCTACTGCTACTTGGCAAAAGCATCGGTGCTGCTTGGAGAAGTGGACCACTTCCTCCTCGTCCTCTTCTCTCCAGCCCCCCGTGCTCAGGAGTTTGCAGTTCCAGCGGCTGGCGGGCACTGAGACTGCAGTGCGCGCACTACTTACCCTATGCATGCCCTTGTTTCTTCTCGTGCGCGCGGTGGGCATCATCACACTCGTGCACTCATTGGAATGCCCAGAGTGCGGACACTGAGCGTTTTGTCGACATCTCTGAAGACTTCAGATATACGTACGAGTATCGCGGCGGGCACAAGCACTGGCGAGAGAACGAAACCCGATCGCTCTGCAGTGTATGCGGACCTGAAATATCACTTCGCCCTGATGTGTGGGCACCTGGCTGGCAGTCATGTGAACAAGGCGTGTGCCATCGCACTCCTGCCGGGGAAGAGGGTCTTCAGGAGGCGAGATGTGGTGGACGTACCCGTGGTGCCTGTCTCTCTCAAAGGCAGGGTGCCTGTGTTTCGGCTTCGCTCGGGGAAACTCAGTGTGCCAGTCCCTCATCATGTACTTTCCGCCCAGACCGAGCAGCAGGCGCGAAGGCAGGGAATCACATGCTCAGACGGCGCAGGCAAACTATCGTGTAAGCAATAGATTATGTGTGCCAGTGGTTGGAGACAGTTTTGACGTGGTCCCAGAAACGCTCTTCGCTCATATGGCGCTACGACTTGAATGACTCGTTCGGCTGGCGCATAAAAGAAGGGTGGGATCTCTGAGCATGTGCATTCCTCTTCGCAGGGCCTCTTCACGCTCGGTGAACAGCACTGTAACACAGATCAGCTCTGCCTTCCTCCCCTCCCCCCACCCTCCTCTCGCTCTCATAGGAGGAGGAGGAGGAGGAGGAGGAGGAGGAGGAGGAGGAGGAGGAGGAGGAAGAGGAGGAGGAGGAGGAGGAGGAGGAGGTGAGGACCAAAAGCCTCACCCCGTGAGGACCAGCATAGGGCATCACACCCCCCGCAGCTGCCACCACAAGGGGCCGCTGGGGCCCACCCCCTGCCGCCAGGTCACCCCGTACACCACGCCGTCCACAGGCACTGGAAGGGGGCCCGGGACTCCTCTGCGGACCCTCGGCCAACGAAGACGTCCATAAAGGAGGGTCCACACGCACCTCCACCTTATGTACATCCTCATCCTCATCCTCATCATCTTCATCCTCATCCCAATTTTCCTCCTCCTCCTCCCCCTGCTCCATATCATCATCACCATCATCTCTCTCTTGCTCCTCCTCCTCCTCCTGCTCATCATCCCGACCCCTCTCCTCGCTCCCTCGCGCCATCCTCCTATTCCTGCGTCCCCTCTCTCCTCCTTCCCCCTCACACCACGCCGTCAACAGGCACTGGAAGGGGGCCCGGGACTCCTCTGCGGACCCTCGGCCAACGAAGACGGCCATAAAGGAGGGTCCACACGCACCTCCACCTTATGTACATCCTCATCCTCATCCTCTTTATCCTCATCCTAATTTTCCTCCTCCTCCTCCTCCTCCATATCATCATCACCATCATCTCTCTCTTGCTCCTCCTCCTCCTCCTGCTCATCATCCCGACCTCTCTCCTCGCTCCCTCGCGCCATCCTCCTATTCCTGCGTCCCCTCTCTCCTCCTCCCCCCTCACACCACGCCGTGAACAAGCACTGGAAGGGGACCCGGGACTCCTCTACGGACCCTCGGCCAACGAAGACGTCCATAAAGAGTTTTCCACACGCACCTCTGCCTTGTGTTCATCCTCATCCTCATCCTCATCATCTTCATCCTCCTCCTAAGTTTCCTCCTCCTCCTCCTCCTCCTCCTCCTCCTCCATATCATCATCACCATCATGTGCACCGTAGACCAGTACACCAGTCGACCAGCTTCTCCTAGTCCTCCCCCGTTCCTCCTCCCGCGCTGTCTTTTGAGCGAGTCGGCCCTGGGCCCGGGACTCTCGGCGTGCGATCGGCCGGACATCAGACACGGTGCTTTTCGACCTGCACTGAGGGGAGGGGAGGTGGGAGGAGGGGCAGGAGAAGCATGCGGGGAAGGCCAAGCAGGAGGAGGACCAAGAGGAGGAGGAGGAGGAGGAGGAGGAGGAGGAGGAGGAGGAGGAGAACCAAGAGGAGGAGAGGGGAGGAGGAAGGAAGGAGGAGGAGGAGGAGGAGAGAGAGGAGGAGGAGGAGGAGGAGGAGGAGGAGGAGGAGGAGGAGGGGGAGGAGGAGGAGGACTGGAAGGACTGATAAGGACTGGAGGCGGAGGGCGACGACGACGAAACGACGACGAGTTGTGGGCCGGAGAATAAGAACGCGAGACCTGCACGAAACGGATCCGCCCTCTGGTGGGCTGCTCCTTCCCCGGCTCGAAGCGGAGGTTGTCGAACTCCGCGAGCCACTTGACCGTGGCGCGGCCCTGCTGCGCGTCCACGACCATGGCGTCACCTCGAGGGCTCCAAACAGGTCAAGGCAGAAAAGCGGTCCATGGCTGAAATGGCGGTCCGGCAGATGGTCTGGCCCTAACCCCCTGGAGTGTCGAGAACATCGCGCGGGGAGGCTCAACTTCCAGCTTCGAAAGAAAAACGTAGCTGCAGGAGTTCCTGCACACTCCTTGATCTGGGCGAGGCTTAATGGGGGGGTCACAAATGGGGGGCTCAGAACAGGTCCCCTTTCGTGCCCCCTTCGGGCCCTCCAGAGCCCCAGGGGGCTCGTTTAGGTACCGTTTGGGTACCTTTTCGGACCACGCTCGCCGCCCCCCCCATTTATGATCCCCCATTACGCGGCGCCCAATTGATCCCCATTGGCAATCCTCCGGGTCACGGACGTGGCGGAACACGATGTTCGCCTGCTTGCCCACGATCTGCGTGGCCCAGTACTTCCGGATCGCGCGCCCGCCACGGAACGTCCCCGCCCTGAGCTAATTATTTGGAGGAGGGGCGGGAGGAGGAGAAGGATGAGGATGAGGAGGAGTAGAGGGAGGAGGAGGAGGAGGATGAGGAGGAGGAGGAGGAGGAGGAGGGAGGGAGGAGAGTAAAGGGGGGAGGAGGGCAGGAGGAGGAGGAGGAGTAAAGGGGGGAGGAGGAGGAGGAGGAGGAGGAGGAGGAGGAGGAGGAGGAGGAGGAGGAGGAGGTAACATAAGATATGGCCGATCACGAAGCGGAACTAAAGCGAGAGCGAATTACGCTCGAGCCGCCTGCTGAGCCGCGCTGAGCACTCTGGGCCACAATCCCCGCTCGCTCCGCCTCATGTGGACCGTCCTAGTCTTTATTGGGGGGTAGACATGGCTTGGCGAGATCCCTGCATTGAGAAGCGCATTAACACCCGCACCTCCCACGATCCCTGAATTGAGAAGCGCATTAACACCCGCACCTCCCACAAAACCTCAGGTTGAGGCCATCGTGAAACTCCATGGGATGGGACGCACGGGCCCGGCCCCCCGGCGAAATGTAAACGACGACCATCGGGCAACCTGAACGGCTGGAATGCACTTCCAGCTCGGAACAAAGGGCTCCAGAGCCACTCTACCCGATTGGCGTCGGAAGCCGACATTTTACGCACCGAACATGTCGTGCCAGAGTCTCCCGCCTGGAGGGTGCTGCTGAACAGGGCCCCGTCGAAAAAGCAGAAGGGGGGAGGCGGGCGAGCAGCAGCAGATGGCGCATTCTTGTTCCTTCTCCCCACACGCTCGAACTCAGCCGCCTCGACGGTGGCGCAAAGCAGACGGTGCCTGACCTTGCAAGCGTCTGCCTGGACAAGTGCAGCGTTGTGCCTCTGCTCCGCAGGGACACTGGTTGCCTGGGCTGCAACTCCAACCAGGACGTCCACAAAATTAACCTCCTCGACCATCCACCCCGGTGCGTATTCCGAGATGATCTGTTCGGCCTCCAAGTGAAAGGCTGCCTTCATCACAACAGTCTCGGTTGGGTCCCTGCATCTGGTTGCAAGGTCCTTGCCGCTGCGCCGCCAAATGTCGACGCTGGCCCCTACTAGGTTCTCGAGAAGTCGGCGCCACCAGCATCCGCGCACCTCGTCGTTGTCAGTGACGGAGATGAGAGGGCCTTGTGTCCACCTGAAACCCATCCTAAAGCGAAAAGCTCTCCCCTGGCAACTGTTCGTCGCATCCCAGGGGAGAGGTCCGAACAAAGCAACGAATGTCTGCATCGGCGTGCATGTCGCGGGTCGCGCGCGTCTGGGCCGCCTGAGGCGTTTCCGCGCAAACCAATAGCAGGCTGGTCGAGGGTCCCGACGCCGAAGCTGGCTGGGCCAACCTCGACCGCGCTCGAATACGCTGACCACAACTCCTGGAGGCTTGGGGGGGTCGACCTGAGTCCACTGAGCAGGGACGAGACCCCTGAACCACAAGAATTTGTCAGCAGCTGACTGTACCGCTGCTCTGTGGCACAGTTCGTCGCAGTATTTGCGAACTGGGGATGCGGCGCCGGCGTTGCATGCGCAAGTCCAAAACTCGGGAGCGGCCAAGAGGGGGGTGTCCAAGAGGGGGGGGTGCAAATCATGACCGGCGGCATGTGCGCGGCCCAGCGGGGGGGGGCCAGGGACGCAATGAAATAAGAAGAGGCGCCATGAAACCTGGGGAAATATCATGGCCCACGCCATGATATCCACCCCACCCTAGTCATCACCCCCCTCTTTTCCACCCCCGAAAAACACCTGCGAAGCGGAGCCTCCGCCTCTGGGCAGCCTCGCGGGCATCCGTCCGCTTCGGGGCAGCCCGCTCCCTTCCTGCGACCGGCGGGCCACACCTCGCCGCCTGCTACCACGAGCATGAGCTTCGAGAGCCTCCGACCTCCTCCTCCTCCTCCTCCTCCTCCTCCTCCTCCCCCCCTCCTCCTCCTCCTCCTCCTCCTCCTCCTCCTCCTCGTCCTCCTCCTCCTCCTCCTCCTCCTCCTCCTCCTCCTCATCCTCTTCGAGGTGGCTGTTCAAACCAGTGCAGCAACTGACTGACACTTGAAATATCAACGCCCCCTCTCTATCCCAGCTCCGCAGAAGCTAGCCGCTGCAGCTCGCCGCTGCTGGAACAGGAGGGCGTGGCGAACCTCGTCTGGCATCTCGTTGGCCTCGTCAAGGCCGCCGACACCTCGATAAAATATCCAATCTCGAGCGATGCCATCTGCCCCAGTGGGGAAGAGCCACTCGGCTGGGGACTGGGGGCCCCGGCCAGCTGCTAAAATATACAGAATGACCGGAGCCAGCGGGCCTCTGACATGCCCGGCACGGCGGGCGGGCGCAAACTTCTGAAATCGTCGCACTCCGCCCTGCCAGCCACGAGAAACACGCTCCTGCGCACGAGGCTCGCTGATTCAAACTTTAAGCCACACGGTAGAGGGAAACAGTTAGTGAACACCCCCCCTGCCCCCCAAACTGGGGGGAGACTGCGGTCGAGGTGCAACTCATCTGACCCACCGCCAACTTTGAACATTGGGGGAAGGGGGAGGCGTTCACAGATGAATGTGGCACGAGTGTTCGCTAATTTTTTCCGAGACCTGCATCACTAGACACTGTCTGGGAAGGTGATACCCTGGGCCCGCGCCCGGCGCACGAGGGTCCAGCAGCGCGGCGAGACGCCCACCGCGGCGACGTCCTCCCGCGGCGGCCCCGGGCCTCCTCCGCGGGGCCGCGCGTGAGGCCCCGGGGGTCTCGGGCATGCCGCGGGCCTCGTGGCCGCAGCGAGCTCCGGTAAAAGGGGGCCCCGCCTTCGCCCCCCCCCCCCCGCCCCCCCAATTTCACAGTGGGGTTCGGCCTCTCGGAGGCCCTGGGGGGTCCACTTGTTTTGTCCTCCCACGCCTGTGCTGCCACATGCTCGCGTCGAGGCCAACTTTGACATTGGGGGGAGGGGGGGGGGCGTGGTGTCAAGGGCTCCACTTTTTTGTCTATCTACGGTCCTGCTCGCGGGCCTGCGATCTCGACCCGCCCGAGCTCCTCGAACCTCCGAGACGCGCCCGCGTGCCGCTTGATCTTGTTGAAGGGTTGCTTGCGGGTCTGGCTCGTCCCCTTGGTGCGGGTGGGGGTCGGGCGAGGCGTCGCCCCCTTCTCCTCCCAAGTCGACGCCGAAGCAGGCCGCCTGATCCGCCGCGGGGACCGCGATGCCCCTTATGGCGTAGCCATCGCAAAGTTTCCTTCGCCGTCGTCATGCTAGAACGGGCGCCCACGCTCCTGGCCGCCGGCCCCAGAGACGCGTCTCGACGAGGGGCCCGCGGACCGCCCTGGCCCCGCTGACCAGGGCGCCCTCGACGCGGCCGGGCGAGCCGGTCGCCACCTGGGACACGTCGTCGATCCAGGGCGCCTCCGAGAGCCGCGGAGGGGCCGTCGTCAGGCGCTCCTTCCACCATGTGCGTCGCGCACTCTGCGAAGCGAGTGCCGCGCCGCTCCTGAGCCCCTGGATGATTCTCCCGGTGGCATGGGACGGCTCCGAGGTGGCGTCGAGCTGGGCGAGCAAGCGCGGTCCTGCGCCGACCTGGAGCTCAAGACACACAACCCGCTCAGGAAGACCGCGCCGAGCAAGGATTGGCCATTCGGTCATATCGTAAAACCTTGTGATGCCAGAAAGGGCCTGTCCATGGGCCATTTTGAGACGTGAACGCAGCTTTTCGTCAAGAACTCTCGTGTATGCTTCTTTGAATGCAAAAACCCTGCAACTGCTGCGTCCCAGGATGTCGGATTGCTGGAACTCCAACCTTTGACCTGCGCTTCCATGATGAGAGACCAGACTCGAGGCAACGCACAAACCAATCCAATCATGCGGCCCCCCGAACTCTTCTTCGGGAGGAGCCACCCAAGCACTGACATCACGTGCCACGGCCATGTGCAACATCCTTGCAGACCTGAGAGATATTGGCGAGTCCGATGGGAACCTCATCGCGTAAGCGATCCAGATCCACGGAAGAAAACCCGTGGATGCCTTGCACTGCCCTGGGCTTCATCGCCTTGGCGGCGGTGCGTGCACCAGGAAAAAAGAATTGGAGGCAATATCTCATCCACTGCCTGCCGCTTGATCGAGTGAAAGGTGTCACTGATCTCCTCGATGCTAGCGTGACGCCTCGACGTCCCCAGCCAGTGCCAGTGCCGGGCCTTCGCGTTCATCACGTCGATCAGTTGATCGAGTGCCCTTTCCTGCGTCTTCAGCTCGTCAACTGGAGGAGGAGGCGGCTGCTTGGTGGCCTTGAAGAGCGCACCTGCGGTAGCGTTTTTTTTGTTTGGTCGGCGGGTCGAGAGCGGGCCTCTTCCGGTTAAGAGCTAGGCGGGGCGCGCGAAGCACTAATTGGGGAGACAGGGCGCGGGCGGGCGGGGCCTCAGGCGGCTGGAGGGTGCGGGGTGCAGGCGGTGCCGAAGAGCTTGCACGCGGCAGCGCTATCCGCGGCCCATGGTTTTGAAATCCGCCAGCGATGCCGAACGTGCCCTGGACTGCGCACGCCGCGACATCTTGAACGCTTCCATCTCGAGAAGGTCGAGGCGCGGCCCGTCCAATGCGGCCAAGATCCCGCAGGGCCTCCGGCCACCCCTGCCAGGGAATAGCCGTCGGAGCCTTCCCCGCAGTCGATGCCGCGCCAGCTGGCGCCCGGCCTCGCAGCTCGGCCCCGCACGAAGCCAAAGATTGTTCTCGCAGGCCTCCGTTCCCTTGACGACGGTGCCGCCAGCTCGGACAAAATAGCCGTCGGAGCTTTCCCCGCAGTTGATGCCGCGCCAGTTGGCGCCTGGCCTGGCAACTCGGCCCCGCACGAGGCCAAAGATTGTTCTCGCAGACCTCCGTTCCCTCGACGACGGCGCCGCAAGCTCGGACACGAAGGTGTGTGTGTGTGTGCGTTCAAGCCCACCAGCTGGCGACCGCGTCATGGCATGGTCTATCTCGAAGATGCTCCGATTGCCGAACTCGCCGAACGACCAACCTTGGGTCGGTCGCGTGCGTCGGCTTAGACCCCTCAACTTCCACACAGCGCTGCTGCTGGTAAGTCACTTGCAAATATTCATGATGCGACAGCGCTGCTGACGGGGAGGACGTTCTCGCCTCCGACATGGGAAGCTGCTGAGGCCCGAACAGGGTCCCAAACGCAAGAGAGTTCTTCTGGCGAGAAGCTAACTTGGGCTTGAGCGGCATGCAACATATCGGAAGTGATGCAGATAGGGGGGGAGGGCGAGGCAGCAGCGCCAACATCGGGAGACCGACTGCATGAAATATGGGTCGTCTCGCTGGGGGAATCTCGACTTCGCCCTCTGGATTGGCCACCCTGGGGTGTGAGGGGTGTCTGACGAACTCATGCTGAGCTGTTCCCCAGCAGGAGAGAGCAGACCCTGGTCCACAGAGATGGCTGCTGGCGTAGAGCTCTGGCCCTCGCAAAAGTTAGGAGGGTCAGCCCAGGGATCCACCTCGTCGTCCCGGGAACCGACATGGCAACCATACCACATTTCATGGTCTGGATCCTGAGGAGGAGGAGGATGACGAGGAGGAGGGGGAGGAGGAGAAGGATGAGGAGGAGGAGGAGGAGAAGGAGGAGGAGGAGGAGGAAGAGGATTAGGGGGAGAAGGACAAGGAGGGGCGCACGGGGGAGAACGGGGACGGGGACAGAGGACAAGGAGAAGGAGGAGGACGAGGAGGGGCGCAGGGAGGAGAACGGGGACAAGGGCATCGAGGGGGAAACGATGATGACGAGGAGGAGGATGGCGAGGAGGATGAAGAGGAGGGGGTGGTCGCAGCCTTATTGCATGACTCTTTTCACATTGCGCGCCCTATGCCTCACCAAACTCGCTGCCCTGCAAGCCAGGCAGTTCGCTGACCGCGGCCACTCGCGGACCCGCCTGTGCAAATCCATGATGCCTTCTGACCCTGACGTCGCGATCTGCGTGAGGGGCGCGTCCGATTTTCAGATGCATGAGGGGTGCGTTCGAATCTGCATGAAGGCTGCGTCCGAAACGTCAGGCCATTGCCGCCTGATCTGGCGAGAAATCGCGCCGATTCCACACAGAAGCAAGACCCGACGCTAACCCACGCGCCTCAATCCACGAGTGCACTTCCTCGAGATCCGTCCCTCCCTCGACGAGCGCGTTCCACTACTCGCAACGTGACTACTCGCAAATGGCCTGGATCCCCCGCGGGGGATCTACGATAGATTACATCAGAGCAGACAGGTGTTTCTCGGACGTTTGCGAGTGGGCACTTTGTGAGTAGTGGAACGCGCTCAGCGACTCCCCGCTCCTTTCCCGGGGGAACAAACAATGACATAAACATAAACACTCGGAGGTCCGCGCGGATTTCTCGGATCGGCGCTCGACCCCCCTCCCTGGCGCGCGGAGCGCGCCAGGGGCGGCGCCGGAGGCGCCGCCGGGGGGCCCCAGCGCCGATCCGAGAAATCCGCGCGGACCTCCGAGTTTTTATGCTAATGTCATTGTTTGCTCCCCTAGTTCCCCCCGCTCTGGGGAGACCAGAAGGTACCGATACCGCTACTCCCCGGACCTCTCCCGGGGTGCGTTCTGACCAGAATTCCGAGGCGAATCCAGCGGTGGCGACGAGGGCCTCCGATGAGGCCCAAAAAAGGGCGAAAAACAGGCGAAGGGTAGAGGTATGGGTACCTTCCCCCCCCGCTCCCTCCTCTTGCTTAACGGGCGAGGAACGGTATAAGATGAACTTCTTCGCTGTCGGGGGCGCCTGTCCCTGGGCGGCTGGAGAGTTTATACTCTCACGGTGGCACCGTAGGGGTATAAACTTTCCAGCCGCCCAGGCACAGGCGCACCCGACAGCGAAAAAGCTTATGTTATACCGTTCTTCGCTCCCTCCTCTTGCGGAGGCCCGCCCCGTCGCCGTGGCGTTCCAGGTGTTTGCCCGGGGCAGCGCTCCGCACTCGGCCCCCCCTGGCCCTGCAAGCGCGACGTGCGAAGAGCTTCGCGCTCTCGCGCCGCCTCACCGGGGAGAAGCGGAGGAGGAGGAGAGGGAGGAGGAGGAGGAGGGAGGAGGAGGAGGAGGAGGAGGAGGAGGAGGAGGAGGAGGAGGAAGGAGGAAGGAGGAGGAGGAGGAGGAGGAGGAGGAGGAAGGAGGAGGAGGAGGAGAGGAAGGAGGAGAGAGGAGGAGGAGGGAGGAGGAGGAGGAGGGGAGGAGGATGAGGAGGAGGAGGAATCGGAGCCGAGCCGCGAAGCGCGGAGGGGGGGGAGCGCGAGCAGCCGACGCCCTCGAGGGCGCCCCTGCCTTCCACCCCGCCCGCTCCCTCCGCTTGCGGGGGGCCGCCCCCGTCGCCGCGGCGTTCGTCTCCGTGTGCCGGGGGCAGCGCTCCGCGCTCGGCCCCCCTCCCTCCTCCCCCCTCCCGCCCCCTCCCCCCCCCTCCCTCCCCCTCCCTCCCTCCATACCTCCCTCCTTCCCTCCTCCCCTCCCTCCCCCCCCCCCCCCCCCCCCCCCCCCCCCCTCCCTCCCTCCCTCCCTCCCCCCCCCCCCCCCTCCCTCCCTCCCTCCTGCCCCCTCGCGCCCAGTGTGGTCCCTGCTCCCCGTCCCCGCGGGCGCGCGCGCGGGCCGCGTGCCCCGAGCATCGCGGAGGCCACCAGACAGGAGCTGCGCCCAGCACCTCTGGGACTGGCTGGTGCTTCCCTCCCTCCTCCCTCCCTCCCTCCCTCCCTCCCGCCCCTGGACTCCTTGCCCCGGCTCGGCGCGTGCCGTCCGCTCCGTCGCGGGGGTCCCATCGCACTGTGCTGTACCTGTCTGCTCGGTGCCCGTGCAGTCTTCTCGCCCTGCCAAAGATTCCGCTGGCTGCAGCGCCGCCCCCTGTCGACAGGCCTCGGCTTCCTCGACCGCGAAATCCCCCCCCAAAAAATCCCTCCCTCCCCCCCCACCTCCTCCTTCTCTGCCCTGAGCCTGGGTGATCACTGACGGAGGGGGGGCCCGACGGAGGCGCGGGCTTCGCGCACCCACGGCAGAGGAGGAGGGGAGGGGTGGGGGGGGGGAGGACGGATGCGACAAGCCGTGCTGTCGATCCGCGTCCTGCTGGATCGGAGGCGCAGCCGCTCGGGCGTGGTCTTTCAAAAAAAGCAGCTCGGTCCACGAGAGGACAGACACAGACGGACCTCGCGCATCAGAGCGGTGCTGTGTCGCAGACTTCGGTGGGGCGCGGCTACCGGAGAGCCTCCGACTCCTCGGTGCTGCGCGAACTCCAAGGAACCCTCGGAGACTTCGGCTCGCACACCGAACTTCTCGTGATAGCCTGGGTGCCCAGACAGCAATCGGGCATAAGGAAATATGCTGGTCACGCCGAGCTTGGCCCTAGCCACGCGCATCCGATGAGCACTGAGCGGAGAGGGAACTCAAGGAGGCTGCACTCGCTCAAAACTGCCAGGCTCAAAGTCTGCCGAGGATTCCTGTCGAACGGGCGCTCGATGTAGACTGCGTCCTCCGTGAAGAGACGCGCGATGCGGCCTGGGTCCTGCGGCGTCTCACCGCTCCCAGCCAAATGAACGCATGCAACTAGCAAAGCGTAATGCATCGAATCACCAGACATCTGCACGCACGTGTTTACGCGAGGGGTAAAATCCAAACGCCAAGGGCCAACCGCGCCAGAGCCAGCTCGGCGCAATGCCAGATAGGGGGCAACACCGTCGCATCAGGCAAACTCACAAACACAAACGCACATACTCGTAATGGATGTGCGCGCGTCCGTGCGCAAATTCCTTCGTACGGCTACCGTCCGTTCATCGACTCGCCGTGCGTCAGAACGGCATCTCTTCCAAACGCATGTGCACACATTTAGTTGACACAACCCGTACGCAGCGTCTACGACTCGACCTTACAGTAGACATCCTTAAGCCAGTTGTGACGATTTTTTGTGAAGGGGCCCTGGGACACACACATAAATACGCACACAACTAACAGGATTCCCCATAGTTTCCCATGTTTGTTGGGTTTCTGTCTTCCCCCCACTTCCCATATTTTCCTACATGTTCCCGAGAGTCGACGATTCATTGTGTCTGTGTGTTTCTTTCCCTCCTGATGCTGCGATCCTGCAAGCCCAAGCTCGCCGGCCCTGTACGGGCCACGGGCGTGTCAGAGCCCACACGCGGCACACAGCCCAGGTCGGAATGCTCAAGAGATACGGTCCGCGCGCGCGCAGGGGCGGCCCTGGAGGGCCTGCGGACCTCGCTGGGTAGGGGGCCACATGCGAACCCTACCCCTACCCCCCACGACTTCTGAAGGGGAGGGGGGGGGTCACATGATTCAGGAGCTCCCGAGCGAAGTGAACCCCACCCTCCCCCTCAGAAATCGTGGGGGGTAGGGGCAGGGTTCGCATGTGGCCTACTATCAAAATATAATCCGCGCGCGCGCAAGGGCGACCCTGGAGGGCCTGCGGACCTCGCCGGGCTCCAGGTCGGGGCGAAGGCGGGCGGAAGCCCCCCCGAGGGCACGGGTCAGAGCGCGTCGGGCCCCGTGCTGGCCCCGAGTCGGCCGCAGGATGGTGCCCACGGTGGCCCCTGATGGCCCGGAGGCAGCCCCGCAGACCGCAGGGACGGCCCAAGGTGGCCGAGGAACCCTTCCTCGGCTGTTCCCAGGAGGGCCAGAATCATGGAGAAAGACATGTTTGGTCGGCGGGGCGAGAGCGAACCTCTTACAGGGCACAATCATAGAGAAAAACATGTGCGTTCCGAGGTGTGTCGGCCTCCCCGCCTGTGCGGGCCTCGCTGGGCTGCCCGGGCCCGGGCCCCGAGAGGGTCTCGAGAGGGCCGCAGTCGACCCCCAGCATGGTCCCGACGCCCTTCTGGAGGGCGCCAAGAGGGCTCCAAGAGAGCCCCCAGAAGGGCCCCAAAAGAGCTGCCCACCAGCCGGGGCCAGCGAGAGGCAGGCCCCAAACAAATAGCCCCACGAAAGCTCCTGAGAGGCCCCTGCCAGGCCGCTGATAGCCTGCAAATCTCCCCAGCAGTCCCCCAATATGGCCAGCATCATACAAACAACATACATGCTTCATGTGATGTCAATAAGTTTGCCTCTGAAGGCTCCAATGAGCTTCTCGGTCCCCGAGGTGGCCCCAGAGGGACCCAGAAGGGCCTTGAGAGGGCCCCAAGACTCCCGAGTGGGCGCCACGAAGCCTCAAGAGAGCCCAAAGAGGCCCAAGAGCGGCCCAACAGCGGATGCCAGTCTTTTCAATGCAATGTTGGGAGGAGAGGGCGAGACGCTGAGAGGAATAAAGCGCGACGAACCTCTGCAGTGCCGAAGGCAAAAACCTGCAATGACCCCCTCTCCGCCCGAGTCCCGAGTCCAACAGCGGAGGCCAATGAGAGGCAGGCCTCACGATGGCTCTACGACAGCCCCAGGAGGCCCCATGATGACCCCAGGGCGGCCCGAGGTGGTCCAAGACGGCCCCCCTGAGAGGCCCCCGGCAGACCCCCGAGCCATCCCAGCGTCCCACAGCATTCCCAGGATCATGCCGAAAACATGGTTTTTGTTGGTGGTTGTGATGCTCCTGCCCATGGGCGCCTGGGCGCCTGGGCACAGCCAGCGGCCCTCGGAGATCTGGCCGCCTCCTCCTCCTCCTCCTCCTCCTCCTCCTCCTCCTCCTCCTCCTCCTCCTCCTCCTCCTCCTCCTCCTCCTCCTCCTCCTCCTGTGAGCTCCATGGACGTCTCGGCCCACGCGGTGGCCCCTAAGCGGCTGCTCGGCGGGCTCCGTGGACTTCTCGGCCCACGCGGTAAAACCTCGAGCGGGCCCCCAAGGAGCCCGGAGAGGGCCCCAGCATTCCCCGGGAGGGCCTCGAGAGGGTCCAACCGCAGCCGACAGCGGAGGCCAGTGGGAAGCAAGCCCCGAGATGACCCCAAGGCAGCCCCAAGAGGCCTCACGACGACGGCCCCAAGAGGCCTCACGACGACCCAACAGGTGGCCCAAAATGGTCCAAGCCAGACCCCAAGAAACCCCCAGGTAGCCCGAAATTGTCCACGACGGTCCCTAGGAGGCCCCAATAACTCAATATACCAAGCGGTGCATCTCCCACAGATTTGGAAACATACCATCACCCAACAACTTCCAAATGCCCACGAGCACGCAAGCAAATAGCAATGGTGGTTCAATATGGGCTGGCGGAATGCACGAAGCGGCTGAATTTTGGCGGGCCCCCTGGCGGGCCCCAGCCATGCGAAGCCGCGAGAACTGATCGCCGTGTGGACTCGCAAGAGCAACTGATGAACGGGAGGACGATGGAGGAGAGTGAGACGCATGCATCAAGGCATGCTGGGAGCGGCTCCGTACCTTCCGCCTGCCTACTGATGCTGCACCATGACAGGTTCCATGCTCATACCCTCAAACATGGCAGCTTCGCTTAAGGCATCCTCGGCTAATCGGCTTCGGAAGGGGACTCCGAATCTAACACATTGACTGTTTCGTTCGAGACATTATCGACAATCGGCTTCGGACGAGATTCTGGATCTAGGCAAATTGCGGTTTCTCTCGAGACATCCTCGAAATATCGGCTTCGTAAGGGGACTCCAAACCTCAAAACATGGCCGTTGTCTCTCGAGGCATCCTCGATAATCTAGGTTCGGATGGGATTCTGGATCGTGGGAAACAGTTGTTTCGCTCGACCATCCGTCACGTACTTCGTGCCTCATGGGCCCCCAAGAAGACCTTTGACCCCCAAGACCGCCCAGCCCCCCAAGGGACGCCAAGATGGCAGGACGAAATTCTGCAACGATTGATACCGACCCTCTTGGAAGCCATACCTCCGAATACCAACTGATTCCAAACTCTGCGTGCGAATTTCCTCTGGTGGCCCGCCTTGACTCCCACTCTGCGAGCTCAATTCGGAGGGCCCCTGTGAGCCTTGTCCGTGTTAACCTTCGAAGGTAGATGATGGAATGGAAGATGGTTGCGGAGATTGAGATGCACGCGTGCATGCATGCCACGAGCGGCTTCGCTCAGTACGCCGGCCCGATGAGGGCATCCGCAAGGCATCCGCCCCTCCATTCTCCTGGGGCACATGAGAATGCTTCGTGCACGATGGGCGCCCAGGTGGCCCCAGAGGCGGCTCCTTGAGGGCCGAATTCGGGGCATCCCTCGCGCACTTCGTGCCACCTGGACCTCCAGGGGCGACCCGCTGGCCCTCGTGGCGGCTGCAGGGAGGCTCACTTCGGCACAACCCTGCACTGTCCGTGTCTCGTGGGCTCCCGGGGGCCCTCCGCTGATCCCCTAGAGGACTCCAGGGAGCTTCGCTTCGGCACGCCCCTCGGGCGCTTCGTGGCCCACGGACCCCGCGAGGGCCCACTCCTGCCTCTCAAGGCCGCGCATCGTGCCACGTGGGCACCACGCAGCGCGATGACGCCCTTCCCCGCCAGGGCCCCCCCCCTGCCCGCGGGGGACGGAGGGGACCCGCGGGCGGGGCGGGGGGGGGGGGGCACCGGTAGAGGCAGACGAGCAGGGAGGCGACTCTGCCCAGGAAGGCTCTGCAGGAGATCAGCAGGCAAACCCAGTGCAGCCTCCGAGCCCTCAAGAAGGGGGCGGGAGAGAGCAAGCAAGCAGCATGCATTTCAGACATCAGCCTCTTCAAATCAGCAAGCAAGGAAACAACAACTCAACTCCAAACCCCCCTGACGAACAAAAACTGAACTAGCAGACGGACTAAAGCTCCGAGCGAACATGATGAGCACTATTTTCAATGTCTTGTTCGGTACGCCCCCGCCCCCGGGCCCGAATGACAATGCCGAGTGCTGCGGCGTCCAATTCCTGCTTCGATGCGCCCCCGCCGCCAGGCCCCACGCGCGACATGCAGCGCGGCCCCGAACGGCCATCCGCCACCGTGCCTCGATGCACGAAGTCGAATAATCCCCGGGCTCTCATGTGTCCTCTGTTCTCTATAGTCAGGACTGGGGGATTCTAGCATTCTAGGGGCTGGGGCCCCAGATTCTCAGATGTCCCGGGCGTTCCCGCGCGCCCCTGGGCTGCCTCGCGTGACTTGTCCAAACGCCAGGGGGCCCCGAGACTAGCCCAGAGGGGCCCAAGAAGCGCCCAAGAGACCTCCAAGACAGCCCAAGAGCGTTCCAAGACGCCCAAGATGGCCCCAAGACGCCCCAATGGACCTCAAAGAATCACCAAGAGCGCTCCAAGATGACCACCAAGAGGGCCCCAAAGAAGCAAAAAACATTGATTTTCCTTGTGCGTTTCATTGTTGTTCGCGTTCTCGCGTTTTCGGGCTTTCGACGCTCCAAGACGGCCCCAGAGGCCCCCAAGACCACCCCAAGACGGCCCAAGAGGCCCCCAAGGGGGCCCCAAGACGTTCCAAGAGGGCCCCAAAACGGCCTAAGAGGCGCCCAAGATCGCCCAAGACGGCCCCAAGAAGGCTCAAGAGGGGGAGCACGAACCGACAATTCGAGCCTTCCGCCCCAAGAAGCCCCCAGGAGGCCCCAAGAGGCCCCCAAGAGAGCCCCAAGATGCCCCCAAGAGGCCCCCAC